AAAGTGGGATTTTGGTATGAAAGGTATACATGGTTGTGTGTGTGTGTGTGTGTGTGTGTGTTTTGTTTTGTTTTGCTTTTTGGTACTGGGGATTGAAGCTAGGGCCTTTGCACTGAGCTGTGTCTCCAACCCTCTTATCCCCCTTTTTTCTATTGAGAAAGGACCTCAAGTCAACCAAGCTGGGCTCAAATTTGTGATCCTCCTGTTTTGTCTCCCAGGTGTTAGGGTTTAGAGGCGTGTGACACCATGCCCGGCTGCTTCATTTTTATGTCCTTCAACTTTATCCTCCTTTCCACCTCTAGCTAATATGCATCCTTCTATTTTCTAAACAAACTTTTATGCAAATATATAATTTTCATACAAATAAAATTGTTATCCTGCAGTAACACTGGTTTTTATTTAATAGTATCCCAGTGCATTTCCATGTTAAAAATCCAAAGACTGCAGAATATTTCTTTTCTTTTTTTAGGTTTTGTTTTGTTGTTTTTTGAGACAGGGTCTTGCTATGTACTTCAGGCTGGCCTTGAACTCACTATGTAGCCCAGGCTGGCCTGGAACTTGAGGTGATTCCTCCTGCCTCAGCCTCCGGAGTTCTGGGTTTACAGGTATGCATCACCACACCAGGCCCAGAATATTTATTTTCATGTTCTGGTCACTTTAGTTTATATTGTAGCAGATAACTCTGAATGGTGATTATGTGAGAGGAGGTATGTAATTTTACCCAGAATGGATAATTCATTCATAAGGTGGTGAAGGATCTTGTGTTGTTTATAGATTTAAGTATCTGAAAGTAAAAGATGCTAAAACAAGTCATTTATATGGCTAGTAACTAAATTTAACTTAATGGGACTGGGTAAGTTCAGGAGTTGGAGGCTGTAGGTTTGAACCATAGCCATACTGGCTTACCTCAGCAAAAAGAGAAGTCAGGTTTCATAAAAGTTGCTTAACAGTTTGGAAAAAAATGGGGGGTTTGTATCATGCTTCCTCTTCTACTAGTATTGCATAGAGCTGTTTGTGGTGAACATGGATATTGAGGACAGGGAATTTTTTGTTCTTTTGATTAGCCTTTTTCTGAGTTATCCCTGTCATTACTACCTGTGAGGCAGACTGTGTGTTTTATCTTTACTGATCAAATGTTTAAATACTGTGTTGGTTTTTGAAAGTTCGAAGGACTGATATATAGATTTTGATACTTTTTTAATATTAAGAGAAAATCCTAAAAAATGTCCCTTTAATTGTGGCCCTGATTGTGTTAGGCTGAAACAGAGATGATAGCGTCATGAACCTTTTCATGAATTTTAGGTGGGTCATTCCTATAGTTTGAGTATTTTCACTACTGGATTAGAGAATAAGTATTCCTTGATGTGAAGAAAAAAAAAAAAAAAGGTTTATCTGTGTCCCTCATTGTTCAGATAAATTACTTGCTGTGTGATGGGACAGAGCTTTATTCCCCCCAATCTTTCAATTTTAAATTGTATGAGGAACAAATCCTTCTCTTTCTCTAGTAAGTGTGTTGCTTCTTCCTTTATTACTATTTCACCCCATTTTGTTTGGTTTCTGCCCCTCTGCTAGGAAGAAACTTTACTTACTGATAGATTTACTAAATCCAGTAGCTTCTTGGTTCTTCTCTGCTTATTAAAATATTTGTCAGTCTTAACACCCAGTTCAGTAGCAACAGCAGTACCAAGTTTTCTTTGATCTTTCAGGACATAATCAGTTGCCCCTTCCGTGTTTTTCCTGACTCTTTTTTATAATACTGCAATTTCAGTGTCTGTGTCTTAAAACATTACAGAGATGCTTTATCTTGTTCATTGTTGTATTCTTAGTACTTACTGTAGTACAGAGTTCAGAAATATTTAAATGATTAACTGTGTTACTAGCATGTTGTTTGTACCTCTTTCAAGAAGCACTTTGAATTTGGACTTGTGTAATCTTTCTGCACTTCCCATAAGCTTTCTTTTTTTGGGGTGGGGGGAATACCGGGGATCAAACTCAGGTCCTTGCGCTTGCAAGGCAGGCCACCGGACCGCTGAGCTAAATCCCCGACCCTCCATAAGCTTTCTAAGAACAGTAGTCTTATACACTGTACACAGTACATACGATTTTAAAAGCAAGAGGAATTTGCAGGGTTAGCTTCTTTTTTCTTTTTGGAAACAGCTTTGAACTCCCCATATAGTCCAGGCTGGCCTTGAACTCTCAGAAATCCTCTTGCCTCAGCCTTCGAAGTGCTGGCATTATAGCTGTGCCTAGCTACTAAATAGTTAAAATGCATTTCGGTTAAAACACTATTCTTTTTAAAATGGTCTTTGTTGTGAGGAAAACATAATTCTCTAAGAATATTGTGACCAATTATAAAACATTAAATGTAATATAAGTTGCATTCAATTAGGCCATCTTTTCTTTCTTTTAAAGAATTTACATTTTAAAAATAACATTTTCTTTCTTTTTGGCGGGGGGTACTGGGGATCGAACTCAGGACCTTGCGCTTGCTAAGGAGGCAGTGGCACCACTGAATTAAATCCCTGGCCCAACATTTTCTATAGTTTCCGTTGTGCTGTTTAAAAAATTCTTACAAAGATACTGGTATTTTTTGTTTGTTTGTTTGTTTTAGATTTTTAAGTTTGTGGACCTATTAACAGAGATACTTGTACATCCTATCAATTTCACTTTCTGTTGTTTACTAAATTTGTGATTTTGAATTGTGTTTATGTTGTCTTGGTTACCAGTAGATATTTTAACTTCAGAATAAATAAGGCAAAGTTAGTAGCCAGAAAGTTGAAATGTAGATTTTTTTTTCCCCAAATAATGTCTTGGTCTAATAGATATTTTCATTTTGCCTTACTGTGATTTTTGCCAGTTTTTGTGTCAGAATTAGACCTGTTAAAACAGCATAGCTAAAGATTTTTTAAAACATTTTCTTTATATTTGGCACTGACCAGAAAATTATAGCATTAAAAAAAGAAGCAAGTGAATTCATTACTTCATGTATAAGTAGTGCAATTGCCCATATACTGGTCTGACTTACTTTGCCATCCCCCACGTACTGTAGCTGCTAGATGTATAGTGGCTGAGACAAGTGTCTCAGGGTTTTATTTCACTTAGGAGAAAGAGTAAATGCAAAGAATTGGAATGAGTTTCTAGAGTGTAAGTTTTAAAGTAGAATGTGTATACCTAAAATAATGAACCATGTAGTAGCCATTGATTTTTATGTACTTTCTTGTGAAATAAATTAGAATATTGACAGGTGATCAATCAGCATGATTAACAGGGATTTACTTTTTAAGTTGTAGATGACCTTAAATCTTCATCTATGAAAATTTGAAAATTTCAAGGCTTTTTTTTTAAAGATTTAAGGTAATGTTTACTGTTATTAATATTCAAAGCTAATTATGATCGTAATAAAATGGAATCCAAATTTCCTAATGAAATTTAAAGGTGCAACATAGACTTTGAAACATTTTCAGTCGAAAATATTATTATTTAGTTAGTGCAGTGTTGAGTCTGAGTCTGGGGCTGTCTTCATGCCAGGCAGGCACTGACATAGCTCTTAATTTTTGGTGATTTAGAATAAAAACTTTTCTCTTTTTGAGATACCATAATAACATTGCAGAAAATGTGAAAAATAGAAACAGTCTGAAAAAAAAAAAAAGAAACAAAGTCTGCCACTTTTCTAGCATACGCCTTTTGATGTGTGCTCTTTTTGTTTTATTTTTGATG